CACTTTGGGAGGCCGAGGCGGGTCGAGGTCAAGAGATCGAGACCATCCTGGTCAACATGGTGAAACCCCGTCTCTACTAAAAAACTACAAAAAATTAGCTGGGCATGGTGGCGCGTGCCTGTAATCCCAGCTACTCAGGAGGCTGAGGCAGGAGAATTGCCTGAACCCAGGAGGCGGAGGTTGCGGTGAGCCGAGATCGCGCCATTGCACTCCAGCCTGGGTAACAAGAGCAAAACTCTGTCTCAAAAACAAAAAACAAAAAACAAGTGTGTTCTCCACACTTATTAACCCTCCAAAATCCCGTTTTTAAACTGGTCCTGCTGATTTTTGCATTCTTCCCATCCTTGCTTCCAACCCCAGGGCTGGGGTGAGGCTGAGATGGGCATGTACAAGACTTCCTGGCTCTATCCCTCATTTCCTGAGCAGAGCTGGGCTGCACTAATTGACCTCGAGGGTCTCAGCTGTGCTAAGTTGGGTGTTTGTTAGATTTCGTTAGGCTTGTAATTAGTGCAGGGAATCTAGGTCAGAGGCAACAGGTTGGAGCGATGGTCTCCTGGGGCATGACTAAAGGTGGGGAATAACAAACAGGCTCCTCATTCTGTGGGTGGGGTGAGCCAGCGGAGGAACAGTGGGACTTGTGTCACACACAGAGACAGATGCAGGGTCATGTGCAGAAAGGCGGTAAAACTCTGTGTGTGTGTGTGTGTGTGTGTATCAGAGTGTTTATGAGTGTGTATCAGAGTATGTGTGTATGAGTGTGTGTATGGGTGTGTGTGCGCGTGTGTATGTGTGTGTGGGTGTGTATCAGAGTATGTGTGTATGAGTGTGTGTGTATGAGTGTGCATATGTATAAGTGTGTGTTGTATGAGTGTGTGTATGTGTATGAGTGTGTGTATGAGCGTGCGTGTGTGTGTGTATGTGTGTGTATGGGTGTGTGTGTGTTCGCTCCCGCACTTACTCGTGTTTCTTTCCAACCTCTCCATATATGGTGTGGCTCTAGAGCAGGCTGGGGATTGGCTGCTCCAGTTGGGAGACTGGGAGGTGGGAAGAAAGCAGAGAGAAAGGAACCCAGCGTAGGGAAGGGAGTGACAAGGGGGTGGGCAGTAGCCGAGCTGGAGGGTTGCAGAAGGGAGCTGGGACTGCTTGCCTGTGAGGTTTAGATAGGGGAGAGATTCATAGAGACTCATTTCCTGGTAGAATGAGGCAGATTTACTAGCGGCAGAGGGGTTGGGAGATACGCTGGGGAAGGAGGTGAGAGCTGTTTCTCAGCACCGCGTGGTTTGTGAGGGCCAGGGCAGGAGTTAAAGAGAAATTTGCGCTTTTCTTTCCTCCCTGCTCAACCGATGCTGTGGAAACAGCAGGGAAATCAACCCATCAGCGTTCCAGGCCAGCAGCCCAGACGTTCTTCCCGACGGAGGGGGCCGGGACTGCACTGTTCCTTCATCCCCTCAGGCCCCCCGCTAACAACCTGATGGGGAAGGTTGGGAAAAGTTGAGGAAAACGTCACTGAAATGTGAATTAAGATTTCGTTCTTTACCTGCCTCAACCCTCACTCTATCTCAACTCTGCATTCTGGGTTCTCCCATCTCCCCGTCCCAGGGCCTCTGGAGGGTGCTTCCCTTTGCTTCATCTGTGTAAGAGAAGGGTGCAGGGCGGCTGGGAGGGGGGAAGGAGGGAGAATAAGCGCGCCCCAACAGCGTCTGGGGGCAGCTGTGTGCTGAGACAGTTGCCCCCCACAGCTACGGAGCTCTTCGTCCCTGCTCAGCCAGCCCATCTGCCACTCATCACAGTTACGGGGCGCGGAAGGGAAATGCTGCAGGCAGAGGGGCTGGAATGCTGGAGTGAGGGAAGGGGCGCTGGGAGGAAGGGAAACAAGAGTCAGCGCCTTCCCATCCTCCTGTCACAGGGCCCAGGCTCAAATACAAATGCTTCCTCAACAGAAATCCTGCCAGCAGCCTACCACAACGGTGCACCTTAGGCAATTTTTCTAGTGGGAAGCCTGGCTCCGTGCCAAGTTCAAAGCTCTTGAAGACCAGGGACCTTGCTTTGGTGCCCCTTTCTGGCTCTAGCCTGCAGCACAGTACCTGGTGCACGATCTTCCCCAGAAGAGGGAGGTCCGGCACAGCCTGCGGCCTGGACCTAGCTAAGCGACGGTGGCTGACCCCACACCGGAGTCCGCATTCCCACTGTGCTCCCTCCACCTGAGCTAGCTGCTCACCGCCCAGAGCCACACCAGTCACAGTGGCCGCAGCAGTCACTTTCCACATCGTCCTCACTCATCCACTAGTTCTGAAGTTTGCAGGTGAAAAAACTGATACTTGGAAAGTGTGTGCCTTGCCCAGGGCCTCATAATCAAGCAGTAACAGAGAATTTGAATCCAGATCGATCTGGTTTCAAAGCTGGGCTCATTTCACCACCTATGGCCCAGATGTTCCAGTAACTGGAAAACTGGAAGCGGTCGGTTTTGGAGCCTGAAGACCCCAGGAGCCGGCGCCCAGCGCGTCTCATCCTGTCTAGAGGTCCCTCATCTTTCTCTTCTGCCTCTCACCTGTGCCTCTCCTGTCTCGGGTCTCCCTCCACCTTCCGGCTCCCCGGGAGCCCCAGATAACTGGCATGTTGGGATACATATGTCATTTGTGCTTTTGTCTTTTCCCTCATTATGTGGGAGCAACAAGGAAGAAAAAAAGGAAAAATGCTGGTAAAATACAAATATAGAGACTTGTAAAAACAAAGCATAATTTTAGCTTAGACTTCCAATATTTTTGCCAATGGATGGCTCTGGTGACCATGCTTAGGGCCATGGAGAGTACAGCTATTTGTAGGACGGGAAGTCTGGAAGCCTGGGTCCCCACCTCCTACCCCAGGAGACTGTGGGAATGACAAGAAGGTGGCACTCTTGTGCGCTTTCCCTCACTCAACTGGGATCCGCATTCCTCAGAAAGAGACTAGGTAACTACAAGTGAGAGCTTGGGAGAATCTCCAGGACACAGAGTGGCAAGCAGCTAGAGAGAGCAAGAATTCCTCTGCCCCAGGGATAGGTAACAGCAGCGATAAGGTCCAGAGAAGAGTTGTGAAGAGATGAACGATTTCTGGAAAGAAGGGGACAGAGCCCCCCACTTTGCCCACATGAGTTGTAGGAGTAACATCAGAGCAGAAGAATGGGGATTAAAGGGGCTGCGTTTCTCCAAAAGGGTTTCCCCGCTCTTCCTCCTATCCCATCTTCCTAACATCAGGGAATCCTCAAGACCAAGTTTACAGGCACATGGCCTCGTTTCCTCCTCCTCCTCCCCTCTCATCCCCAGTGAAGCCCTGCTGGGGAAGGGGATCAAGCAGCTAGCAGGGCACACTTCAAAATGGCTTCTAACCCCTCATTTACTTAATTCATGAGGTTCTGTCCCCTTCTTTCCCAAAATCATTCAAATGTTCCTTTCACAACACTTCTCGGGACCTCACCTGTTAGTAAGCCTGATCTCACACACTTCTGAGGGAAGAAGTGAACAGTGAGTTGTGTGGGACCTACCATAGACAAGAATGTTAGGAAGCCTGGCAATCCCTGAGGTGGCTGGGAGGGTGGTGTGCTGGGCATCCAGATGTTTTTCTCAAGTGGGGGCTTGCTTAGTGCTGGCAGGTTTGAGGAAGGAGAGAGGGAAGCTACAGGAAACCTTAGCTTGGGCAAAAGAGGAACTTGGAAACGTTTGGCTTTCCCCTTCATCCTACCCAGCTTGCATCACAAATCAGTTTCATTCTTAGTTCAGTTCTTCTGTGGGGTCTGTCTCTAGTTCCCTTATGTTGGGGCCCCGAATCAAATAACGAAACCAGTCTAATCCACCCAAGGTTGGACCTTTTTTTGTTTTTTGAGATGAAGTTTCAGTCTTGTTGCCCAGGCTGGAGTGCAGTGGCACGATCTCAGCTCACTAGAACCTCTGCCTCCCGGGTTCAAGTGATTCTCCTGCCTCAGCCTCCTGTACAGCTGGGATTACCAGTGCCCACCACCATGCCTGGCTAATATTTTCATATTTTCAGTAGACATCCCCATCTCTACTGACCAACATTTCACCATGTTGGTCAGGCTGGTCTTGAACTCCTGACCTCGGGTGATCCGTCTGCCTTGGCCTCCCAAAGTGCTGGGATTACAGGTGTGAGCCACCGCGCCCAGCAAGGTTGGATCTTTGAGTCAGTGTTGGGAAGGGTGTGGAGGATGAAGGAAAGAAACACCTCATGTAAGAAAATCCAGGCAGCTCGATCTCAGTCAGAGACTGCTAGGAACGAGAAGCCAGTGTCTGGCTGGGGAAGATTTTAATGCCACATATCCTCCTCAGGGCTGGGATACATTTCATTTCCATGTGCACGGACAGGTGGCACTGGCCTGCACATCCCTAGAGTTGGGCAGCTGAAACTCCACCCTCAAACTGAAGGCCTCGGGTGGGACACAAGTCTAAATGCTCTTGGCTGGGCGCGGTGGCTCACGCCTGTAATCCCAGCACTTTGGGAGGCCGAGGTGGGTGGATCATGAGGTCAAGAGATCGAGACCATCCTGGTCAACATGGTGAAACCTGTCTCTGCTAAAAATACAAAAATTAGCTGGGTATGGTGGCATGCACCTGTAATCCCAGCTACTCGGGAGGCTGAGGCAGAATTGTTTGAACCCAGGAGGCGGAGGTTGCGGTGAGCCGAGATCGCGCCATTGCACTCCAGCCTGGGTAACAAGAGTGAAACTCTGTCTCAGAAAAAAAAAAAAAAGAGTAAGTGCTCTCGTCCCCCTCCCGCTCTAAACTCAGAAGCCCATGGTATCCTTGGGAGCAGCAGTGGACTCCCCCTGCCGTCTCAGGGGCAGGTGGTGTGTCGAGTGGCCAGACTGGCTTCACTGCGCCTTCTGTCTCTGGCTGGGAAAAGGCTTCCTACGACCTCTGTGGGCTCACTTCCTCAAACCCCCGGGGACATGGAAAGTAGGGGGGGAAACAAGGGTTGTGGTGGGGTCGGGCGTCAGCCAGAGCAATGAGTTTGTTTCTTTTTTTGATTGAGGTAAATAAAAAAGCTTTATCCAGCAACAAGGAGATAAGAGTCTGTCCACCCCCATGAGTTCCAGGCCCCACCCCTGCCCTCACATCAGGCTCTTCCGGTACTGACTGTGTGGGGTGGTCTGTCTGAGGTGGGAGTCGGGGGTCTGCAGGTCCATCTGTCTGTACAGGTCTCTCAGCTCCCTGACCTCCTGCAGCACCCTCTTCGCCTGGCTCCAATTCGATGACGCCTCTCCCAGCAGCCGCTCCGTCTCCAGCAGCAGCTGCTCGGACTCAGAATCCGGCGGAGACCCAGGGGGGTCCTTGGCCTTTCGCTTCCCATCCCCCAGGCCGTGAACCTCTGCCAGCAGCTCCTGAGTCTTCTCCAGTTTCCTTGCTACCAGGTCCTGGATCCGGGACAGCTGCCCCGGGTTGGGAAGGACAGGGGTTGGGGGTTCCTCAGCCCGAAGCTGGAGGGTGCGGGGAGGGGCAGCGGCCCGCTGAGACAGGATCTCCTCCAGCGAGGCGCAGCGGCCTTTCTCTGTGGGAGCCAACTTCTTGGGTGCCTGGGGGGTGTAGGTGGCCCCCTTGTCCGGTTTCTCCCAAGGTCGGGAGAGGCTGCTTGCCCGGTCTGCAGAGGGCTGGATGCGGTCTGAGTCTGCCCTCCGCCGGCTCCCTGCCAGCTGGCCCACAGACTTGTCCAAGTCAACCCGAAAGTTCTCAGCACAAGAGGTTGGTTCCTCAGGGGAAGGGTCTTCCTCTTGGATCAGGTCCAAGGTCAGCATTCCATCTGAGGTAGAGGTGGAAGCCTGCGGAGGAAGGGGGAATGAGAAGGGAACACTGTCATCAGGAGGGATTTTAGGAACTACCTAAAACACGGGTGCAAGCTCTGGTCATTTTCCTCTACAAGCCTTCCTTGAATGAGAAGTACTTTTTTTTTTTTTGAGGCAGAGTCTTGCTCTGTTGCCCAGGCTGGAGTGCAGTGGCACAATCTCGGCTCACTGCAAACTCTGCCTTCTGGTTCAAGTGATTCTCCTGCCTCAGCCTCCCAAGGAGCTGGGATTACATGCACCACCACCATGCCTGGCTAATATTTTTGTATTTTTAGTAGAGACAGGGTTTCACCATGTTGGCCAGGCTGGTCTCAAACTCCTGACCCGAAGTGATCCACCTGCCTCGGCCTCTCAAAGTGCTGGGATTACAGGCGTGAGCCCCGTGCCTGGCCAAGCCCTCCTACTGAACGTGCTGTTTCTTACTCCTTTGATAGTGACTTGAATGTTTATTTTTCTGTGATTTAATTTCTGTTGCTTGTTTCCCGTATTCTCCACTCTACTGCAAGCTTCCTGAGGAGTGTCCTCTTCCTCGGTATTGTGGACTCTGAGCATTAACCTGGGTTTGACACACACACAGGGTGCTCCCCATGGCGCAGTGACTGTCCTCCTCCATCAGCATCTTCTGAGCCCCACACCTCAGCCCCCTTGCCTTATGATAAAATGTGTTCTCTTATTTATAGAATACCATAATTTTAAAAAAGTGATGAGTATTCAACACCATATATGTAGTTATACGTATGGTGGTCATTCCTCACAGCAGCCCTTTGAGGCGGGCACGATCACCACCTCGTTTCACAGGTGGAGACATGCGACTTCAGGGAACCACACAGGGAGCTGACTGCAGTGAGGTTCCACCTCAGGTTCTGACTCCAAAGCCTGTGTTCTCTGTACTGTACCTGACTGCCTCTCTCCTTAAAGACGTAGAGCTCAGAGGCATGAAAGAAACTACCACTCTGTATGTTTCAGGGGTTCACTGTGGCCCTTTCTCCTCCAAAGGCCTGTAGTACTACGCTACCCATCGAGACAGCCCCCATACAGTAGCTTATTTTTCACTTTCCTGTGGGCGTAACTCATTTTCTCCAAAAGAGGGTAACATTAACTGGCAGCAGGGACTTCTGAACTCATGATGGGTGCTGAATACATCTTTTTGATTTAGATCAGGCAGGGGCATGGGGCGGAAGGACTTCCCTCGCCTCTGATCTTGGCATCAAGGAGGCCTCCCACATACGCCTCTGGTGGCATATGGTTCTGAGACGGACCGACACAGAGCTGGCCCTCTGGCAACGTTTACTTTATTACAGTATCACGTACCACAGCCATCAGGTGTCCCCTTGTTGGGGGGCGACGGGAGTGCTGGATTTTCGCCCTGTCTCGAGTGGGGTGGGCAAGATAGCTGTCCTCCTCAACGGTGACCTGAAGAGAGCCACTGTGAGTCATGAGTGCTCTTTGGCAACTGTCTGTCCCAACCCAGCACCCCGAGACCTGAACACACACCCACCCCATGCACTGCTTCCGGATGAATCCGTGGGCAAGGGGACACAAAGGGGCTGTTTAGGCTGACCCAAGCCTGGCTCCCGCATCAGGAACCAGGGAAGAGGCAGTGTCAGAAGAGATGTGAGAGAAGGTCGAAACAGAACAGGGTTTTTAAAAGTGAGATGAAGGAGAGCCGGTGGGGGAGCAAGTGAATGGGGCCTGCACAGTAATCCCCCTCCGTCAGTGGGTCTGGCTGCTCCCTCTGCCCAGCGTCCCTCCCTCTCCCCGCACTGAGCCCCCTGACCTCATCCAAGATACGGTTCTTGGCTCGGGTGATGGCAGAGTTGAGGGCATTGATCCATGATTCCTTCTCTTCTGGACTCACTGCCAGGAATATCAGGTTGGGTGCCTGTGAGGGAAGATTCCTGTTTCAGCCAGGGTTTTAGAGGTGGTGCCTCACCTTGACAGTAAAGAAATAAGAGATTATAATCCCACTTTCTTAGATCCAGCTCCTAGGAGAGAGATTCTGCTTCCAGAGTCATCCATAACTTAAGGAAACCCAGCTTCTATTCCTGCAAAATGTATAGCCAGGAGGTTGTTTTAGAAATGACCAAGGAAGAGCTAGGAGGGATACTGAGTATTAATATGGTATTGGAGATAATTAGAGGATGTCTGATGAAGGACAGGTATTAAAATACAAATCTTTCAATGTCTGAAGAAACAGAAGTGTGACAGGAATAACTTCCCTGGGTTCCCTCCCACAAGACGAATTAATTCAACTTCAACCACCTATCAGGGTACAAGTACAGCGATTTTCTTCTAAGGGATATATATATATTTACACATGCACGTATATATGTGCACATGTGTGTATGTGTGTGTATAACAGAGAAAAATAAAAAGCGAGATTCTATCTACAGAGGTGACTTTGTGGCTGAACAGGTTAAAGGCTGGCCTGCCTGGGAGGAAGGAAATGGCCCCAATATTCTCAGGTGAAACGATAAAGCCAGCGGGAGAGCGATTCAGGGCCTCTGAGCCAAGACTGCCGAGAGAAGCTGAGGGAGGGAGTTCTCCCCTCCTCCAACCCCGTCCCTGTTCCAGCGGCCAGGGCGGCAGGAGAACATACCACGTTGCCCGGCTGTTTGGAGTGGGCGAGAGTAAACTTGCTGTGGTTCTTCTTGCTCCTGCTCTTGGACTTCCGGAGCTCTTCACACTTCTCATAGTCACTCAGGTCAAACACCTCTTGAATATTTTTCTCATCTTTTACCTAGGGGACGGTTGGGGTGAGGTGAGGAGGATAAAATTATTTAGCCCCTCCACCCAGACAGTTTCCATCATCTTGGGAAGCAGAGGAAGCCTGAGGAGAGGGAGGGATGTCAGGAGAGGAGGGGCCATCCTGCCCCAAGCCTACAAGGCCTCACGTGGAGGGGCGGCAGGGGCAGCCCCAGGTCCTGAACACTCAGGCACGTTTCTGCTGAACCCCTGCTCTTCACTCTCTCAACCAGGCTGCCATCTCCAGAGCCCACTATGCCTGTCTTCGCTCACTGCCTCACTCTCTTCCTTAAGGACACCGCTTACATGTTCCAAGAAGGCTCCTATCTTTAACGGGACATGGCAGGTGGTCCATCCATCACCCTCAGGTAAGACAGACGTGTATGGCCCTTGATGGACCACAGAAAGAAGATCAAGGCAGGGCCAGCATTGGGGTGTCTGGGGAGAACAAGCGGCTGCCTCTGCCCCGGCCCCCACCTGCACGTGTGCAGTGTAGCTCTCCCGCCCCACCTCGCTCCCTTCTCTGACATGTACGATTATAGAGACTCATCTTCCTTGTTCATTTTGGGAGCATGGTCACGACAGGATCGCAGCCCCCGTGTTCAGTTTGCTGAGTTTGTCCCGAGAAGCTGAAAACTACAATTACAGTTCCTACCGTTCCCTCCTCCCTCCAAGGTACTGTGACAATCCAGACTAACTCCTCCAAGACCCAAAAAGCCATTTCATTCGGCTCCCGTCTTTAGACAAGAATGCACGTAGACTTTCCCTGGAAGACTAAACTCTAGACTTGGAAAAAGTATTCTGTTACTTCTTGCTATTATTCCAGTTCGAGTGCCTGGGACCCCTTTACTGCCAAGAAGCTCTTCCTTGTACGGAAACTTAGCCCTCCCTGCCGTAGATTCCGTCTTACATTCTGGTTCTGCCTTTAACAGCTTCAGGCAACATTAGCTCTTAGAACACTCCTGCTGAAGGCTCATCAAGGCCACACTCCTAGCGACCTCCTCCAACCCCAACTAGCCTTTTCTGAGCACTGCAAAGCGGCTCTATGAACATTTCCTTGCAGGTCCATTTTAAACTGATCACAATGTTTTCTCCTTTCCTCTAAGGTAGTGTTCCCTGTAACTCTGGGACTCTGAAGTGGTGGCTTATGGATCTGTTTTGCCTGAAAAGGACCGAAGTTACAGAGAAGGACTTAGTTACAAGCCCAGGCCGGGCTGTGTTCACCCTCTGTGACTGGAGCCCAGGGTCGGAACCCCACAGGAAAGAGGACGGCATGAGAAATGAAAAGCACAATCACTTGTCTCACGAAAACTGAACAGATGAAAGTAGCCTCACGTCTTCCTGGGATGACATCTACCCACCCTGACTGCAATTATTTCCTAAAAGAGTCCCTGACTTCCCAAGCTCTGAAATACAACTCGTGTGCACGGAGGTGAACTCATCTATCTTCCGGGTTCCTGGCAACCTGGAAGTGGGGAAGCGGTTCCCCCTTCCGTTACCCAGACCATCTACAGCCTCGTATCTGCCCATCCTTCTGAACTGCTGCTGGACCTGCAGGCTGTTGACAAAGGAGGACAGACGACCACAGGGCCCCATTCAGGTGAGTGACTGCTTGTACATCTACCTCCACTTGTTTCAGCAAGGCTTGGCTCCTCCAGGGCCCCCTACTTTCCAGGGTTCCCTGGCTTTGGGCTGGAAAGCGACCAGAGGCCTTGAAGGACTACGGTGGGAAGCAGGACAAGGTGCTGGCAAGGGGTGTCCAAGAACAATTCCCAGAAACACGGGGCAAGGATGTGGGATGATGCATCACCCCCCTCTCCCCTGCTTCTCCAGAGTTGAGACTATCAGCAGAGTCCAGAAACCGTGGAGAGGAAAGTGCCGGGGGTGTGAATGGAGCTGGGGAAGAGAGTTAACTTATTCTGTTTTCCTTAGGGGAAAGGAAGGAAAGGGAGTTTTTCTGGCTTGCAAACAGACTGATAAGGAGCTCCAGGAGCAAGACAAGCTGACAGAGGTTAGCCCTTGGTGGGAATGGGGAGGGTGGGACAGTGGGTGAGGGAAGCGGCAGGACAAGGATATTCCAGTGCCTGGGAAGATGGACCATGCCAGGTGCCTTGTTCTCCACCGCACTGTTTCCGCCCCCCACTTATCTATTCCCAGTCTTATTTGTAACTACCTTGCTTCCAAATTAACCCTTCCTTTCTCCCGATTCTTTGTCCTTGACCACAGAAAGGGATTTTTTCCACGCCTGTCCAAAGAGTTGTCCCAAACCCAATTTCCTCTACCATGAGGTCTTCCTAAGGTTTAGCTTCTGTTCTTACACATCAGCCCATGATCATAAGGTGCTCCAACCCTCTTTCAGAGAGGGTGCCCTTTAACTGAGAAGGAAGAAAATGATTACGATTGAACACAGAACAAAAGTCTATGGCAGAGGTGGCTGTGGAAGACCCTGCCTTTAAGAGAGGAAATAACAAAAACTCTGGTGAAAATTCTGGGAGATAGGGTTAGGAATTTTCTTGCATTAACAGTACTCTGCCTTAAAACAAAGTCTTGGCCAGGTGCTGTGGCTCATGCCGATAATCCCAGAATTTCGGGAGGTTGAGGCAGGAGGATCACTTGAAGCCAGGAATTTGAGGACTAGCTTGGGCAACATAGCAAGACCCCTACCTTTGTATAACTGAGTTAATAAAAAGAAAAACAAAAAAAAAGAAAGAAAGAAAAGAAAAAAAAAAAAGCAAGACCCCATGTCTACAAAAAATAAGAAAATTAGCTGGGTGCGGTGGCACACGCCTGTAGTCCCAGCTTCTCAGGAGGCTGAGGTGGGAGGATTGCTTGAGCCCGAGAGGTCGAGACAGCAGTAAGCTACGATTGTGCCACTGCACGCTGGCCTGGGCAACAGAGTGAAACCCTGTCTCTGAAAACAACAACAACAACAAGAAAACTACCATCCATTGGCCCTGGAGCTTTTCACAAGTGAGCAGAATAAAGCCCAGAGTCCTCTATCAATTTCACCTCTAACCCAGGCCCACTGTAGCATGGAAACTGGCTTTAAAAAAGCCTAGTATCAATATGCTTAGTCCCTCTTTCCTATGCCTTTCCCGGAGACAGCTGGCCCCACGGCCAGCCAGATGCTCCTGACTCACAGGACACCAGACATCACCTCCTAGGCTGAGGTCATTCCATCCTGTCCCCCGTCTTTGTACCCCTTCCTCACAAGCAAGGATCAACTGTACTTTTGCCCCTAGGCTCTGCTCTTTGGGAAAATACATACGACGGAGGTCTTATTCCTCTTACCCTTTCACTATTACGTTTTTTCCTTTGACGTGTAGGATGTTCTCCCTGATTGCTAACTAGTGTTTCCTGCAATTAAAAAGTTCAGGGAAGATGGGAGATATACTTTGACACTTGCTTTTTTTTTTTTTTTTTAATTAGAAAGCCAGAAAATTGCGGAGAAAGTTTTCTGGAGGATTTGTGATTGGGTGGAGGTAACTCTTAAAAAGAAATTCTCCTGGCAGGGCATGGTGGCTCACACCTGTAATCCCAGTACTTTGGGAGGCTGAGGTGGGTGGATCACTTGAGGCAGGAGTTTGAGACCAGCCTGGGCAACATGGTGAAACACTGTCTCTACAAAAAATACAAAAATTAGCCAGACATGGCGGGACCCACCTGTAGTCCCAGCTACTCGGAGGATGAGGTGGGAGGATCGCTTGAGCCTGGGAGGTGGAGGCTGCAGTGAGCTGGGATGGAGCCACTGAGTTCCAGCCTGGGTGACAGAGCAAGAAAAGCACCCTCACCTCACTCCTAAGACTTTCCATCACCAATTCCTAGTTTTGTGTAAACAGCTAGGTTTCAATACCCTTAAGAGGGATTCCTTGGCTCTGGCACAGCTTAGCTCTTCCCTAGATGCCTCAGTAGATGTTCTTTTAGATGAGTACTCTGTCTTGGGGTGTGTTATCTGTTTCCATACCATAAAAGGTTTTATTTACCTAAATAGAATCTACTGAATAAGGGTGTCTACTGCAGAAAGCAGAAGAGGTTAGAACTCAGGGAGGACTTCCCAGTTAGACCTGGGTGAGGCAACACAGAATCCCTCCCATGCTGGTGGAGGAAGGGCCACTCTAACGGGTACACAAGACGGTCTCCCAGGCTATACTGACAGATAGAGGCAGGGATTGGAATGACTTCTAATCACTGGGGGGGGCAATTCTGATTTCTCAACATGAGTATAAGTTATTGATCCCAAGACTTAGGGAAACAAGGGAGATGGGTTTGGATTCAATGATCATAGCTCAGGTTTTGACAGTGTGGACTGTGGTTTTCATGATTAACTACTGAGCCGAAACTATCCAAAGACATACAGGGGTTCGTTTTTCTCTCTTGTGATACAAATGGGGGGTGGGAAGGAAGTGGGTAGAAAATGGGTTCCCCTCCTTTTTTAAATGGGGTGGAGGTGGGGAACAGAGAGCATACTGGTTAGGGACACTGGCTTCAACTGCTACTCACAGACCCGAGGTCACAGGAGCCCGACGGCGGCGTGCGTGTGTGTTTTCTGTGATTCAGGGCGGATGCGCCGCTGACAGGACCCGTGCACGTTCCTGCCACAGACAGGAAAGGGGAGGCTGTCTGGGTTAAGGTGGGGGAACAGGAAAGGGTGGCGAATAGGCTAAACTGTTTCAGCAGCAATAAAAAAGAAGAGAAACCCTATATTCAGGAGGCCAGGTTAGGGTGGGAGGCAGCAAGGGACAGAACTTCTGGGACATCTTGGGAGGGGCTTATCATTGTTGTCAGAAAGGTATTTGCAAACAAAAAAACACTGAGTTAAGAGGCAAACTCAACTTCTACTTCCCACTCGGGTCTTTTCACTGAAGGGTGACCTTTCTCTGCAGAGGAGATGGGGGTAGAGACTCGGGAGACCACTGAACTTGCCTTTGGAACAAAACGGGGGTGGAGTCAGCCAGGTGAGCCGTGGTGGACCGACAAAGGGGGTGCATGAGAAAGCGGAGAGTTAGAGGCAAGAGGCACCCACCTCCTTTTCGGAGATGTAGAGCTGGTCCCCCTTCAGCATCACATAGCGGTTTTTCCAAATCTCCCTGAAAATCCCTTTCCCGCAGAATTTCCGGACCCAGCCGACCTTCTCGGGCGGTGCAGGCTGCTGGTTTCCATCCTGAGGCCCCTGCCCCAGGACAAGACGAGAAGCGGGCGGTTAGGAGATTCCAGCCGCGGCCGCCTCGGCGGCCCCGTCTCCTCCGAAGGCTGCGGCCCCGGGGGCGCCCCGGGTTCGCTCCCACTTCGGAAAGGTTTTCACAGCGAGGAACTCCCCCCGCTCCCCTCCCCCGCTCCGAATAAACAACCGGGGCTGCGAGGGGCAGGGGCGCGGGCCGGGTGCGGAGGGGCTCCCGGGCTCCCTCCAGGCCCCGCCGCCCCGTCTTCGCCGCGCGGGGACTAACGGCGTTTCTTTGGTTTTCTCTCCTATTGTCTCCTCGCCACCGCGGAGCGCGAGGCGAACGCCCGCCCGGCGCCCAGGGGCGGGGGAGGTGCAGGTCGGGGGGAAACTCAGACAAGTTGAAGCCCCCCGAGGCGAGTAAACAAACAAAAGCCCCCGCCAGCGCCTAGCGGGGCCGGGCGTCCAGGGCCGGGGCCGGGGCCGAGGGGATCGGGCCGCCGGGGCGGGGGCGCGGCCGGGCCGGGGGGCTCCCAGGCCGCCGCGGCGCCGACCGGGACCGGGTCGTCGGAGCGCGGAGGCGGCAGCGGCCGCAGGGCGGGCGGGCGCACTCACCCGTTTGGCGGAATTGTTCTTCTTCATCATTCCCGGCGGGCGCGGGGCGGCGGGCGGAGGGGCGGCCCCGCTTCGGGGCCTCGGCGGCTCCGCGGGGGCTCCTTCCCCGCGGGAGGGCGTCGGAGCTGCCCCGGCGCCGCCGCTCCTCCCTCGCGCCCTCCCGCTCCCGGACTCTCCCCTTCTTTGTAGCTCCGGTTTCACTCAAGGCCGGCCTCCCTCGCACTCGCACTCGCACACACACGCACGCCCGCTCCCCGCCCCTCGGCGCCCTCCATCCCGGCGCCCACGCGGCCCGGGCCCCCGAGCGCGCCCCCGCCACCCGCCCGCCCGGCCCGGCGCGGCCGCTCCCCCGGCCCGGTGCGCTGTGGGCGGCCCAGCCTGCGCCCCGCAGCTCCATCCGCGGGCCGCTGACGTTGCGAGTTCAGAATAAAGGGCGAATCGCGGAGCCGCAGCTCCGGCGCTCCCCCCGCCCCCCCGCCTTTGTTTCTGACTCACGGAGGGGGAAGAAGGAGGCCCCGAAGCGGCCGGAGACCGCTCCCCGGGGGGCAGGGACCCTCGCTCCGGCGGCGGCCCGGGAGACACGCGGAGCCCGAAAGACCGGGCCGCCGGCCGCCCCGGGGCACAGTGGGAGGGCGCGGTGGATAATGGAGAGACGTGCGGATTTGTGAAGACCGGAGATCGCCACCCTCCACGGCATCACCTTCTCCGGCCAAAAACAAAAACGAGAGCGGGAGCCGGGAGGCCGCGCCACCCAGAACCGGTATCAGGAATTCACGCTCCTAGGTGCTAGGGTGACCTGGGCAGGTCAGATGCTGGGGGAAAGTTTTATGCTCCGGAGGGGATCGACGTGTTGGGGGATGGGGTGGGACAGTTGGGGGATGGGGTGGGACAGAAGTTGCTATTAATACACGTTTCTTCCAGTGTTCAAAGCCTCAGGCCTTATTGGAACCTCAGGAGAATAACCGTGAGAATGAGGCGGATTTTATGATCTCCATCTCACATGGAGAAAACGGAGACGCAGAATGGCTGGGGGATTTGCAGACACACTGTGTCAATGCCGGCAGGAATAGAACTCTGTCTCCAAACCATGATCCTTTGTACCAAGTGGCTTTCAATGTAAGTTCCAGGTGAGGTTTAAACTTCCGGCCACCTGGGTATGTTTTCCTGCTGCACTGATAGGTAAAAATCCCATCCTCTCTACACCGCTGGAGCCCAGTGGAGGGAAGGGCGGAACACCCAGAGGATGCCCTGACTAGGGAACGGCTGCTCATCTCCTACAGCAGGTCTGCCAGAGCCTCCAGGACACACCTTAGTAACTTCATGTCTTTTCAGTATAGATGTGATGGAAGAGGGGAGTGAGAAACCCCACTGTTGGGTACTGGTGTCATCACCACGCTGTGGCCTTTGGTCAACTCGCCGAATTTCTTTAGGCCTGCGTCCACCCACGTATTAAATGGTGAGGGATGAAATGCCGTTTTCATCAACAAGGAAAGTTAGGGGGAGATATGAGATGACCTGTGAGAATCCTTTGAAGATATGTGTTGTCTTCCAGGGCTAATTTTGAAATCCTAATGAGCTAATAAACACATTGCCTGGCATATGGCAAGCTTGCAATAACCACAAAATGAATAAAAATCCCTGGCACAGAGGAACAGGGAAAAGGAAAAATCCTTTTTCCAGAGATGTCTCAAGATGAAAGTGTTGGCTAAATTTGTGGTTTGAGTAGTGGAGGCTGTTTTGGTTTTTCTGGTCTCTGTCAAATGAAGGAGGGGCTGCCTCTCCATTCCCGCCAGGCACCTTTCCTCCTAATCCAATAATATTGCTCTCAACCTCTTTCCATTCACCATACCAATTAATTCCACGATTTTAGACTGACACAACTTTATCGTTTCAAAATGCTCTTGTATGTCATTTCTTTACACTTTTAGTGCCATCTTGTATGTAGAATAAGTATTAATATTTCCATTTGGAAAATGAAGAAACGGCGCATGCCAGATCAACTGACTTGCCCAAGTTTATATATCAAGTTACGGGCTAACCAGATTAGAATCCAGGCTTCCTGACTGCAGTCTCCTGTTTAGACTTTGTGACCCCTCCCATGGGCATGAGGGCACACATACGACATTCCCCAAACCATCTCGTCGTCCGCTTCTCACCATCTCTATTTTCTACCCCCTTGTTTAAAAAGCAATGAAAAAATAATGAGCAAATCCAGGATGTCTTCATATGTGAGGAAGTAAAATGTCCAGAGGTACCGGTGAGGAAATAGCCTGCATGACTTTTTGAGGGCTTTCGGGACAAGCACACAGGAGTGGTTTAATCATGTAAATAGATTCGGATTTATGGGAAAAAAGTAACTCATTATTCGCCCTATCTTCCTCCTTTCCCAGTAGTTTCTATCAGCCGTGGTGGCTCATGCTTGTAACCCCAGCACTTTGGGAGGCCGAGGCGGGTGGATCATTTGAGGTCAGGAGTTCAAGACTAGCCTCACCAACATGACAAAACCCCGGCTCTATTAAATACAAAAGAAATTAGCTGGGTGTGGTGGCACATGCCTGTAGTCCCAGCTACTTTGGGAGGCTGAGGCAGGAGAATCGCTAGAACCCGGGAGGCAGAGGTTGCAGTGAGCTGAGACTGCACCACTGAACTCCAGCCTGGGCAACAGAGTGAAACTTTGTCTCAAATAAATAAATAAATAAAAATAAAAACAACAAACATCTGAGTGCCTCCTATATGTGAGGTCCTGGGTTCCTTTTGTGCTGCATCAGATAGGTGCCAGAGCATTGAAACATCAGGCAGAGGGGCTGATGAAAAACCCTCCAAAGTAATTTCAGATTTCAGAGCAGATGCATGTGGGCTGCAGAACCTTCCCTGCCTGTCTGCTCCTTAAGATGTTACATAAATCTCTGGCGTCCTTTCTCTTTCTCTCTGCCCTGCTCCATCCTGTGATCCTGCCCCTACTTTCGTTCACCTGTTCTCCCTTTGTCCTGTCACTCACCCTTTTCTACTTTCCCTGGCCTATTCTTGAAGGTGATTTGTCTCACCAGGTGAACCTTGGGGCACCTGAATTGGGAGGTAGGTGGGGACTGTTTTCCAAAGACCAATGCTTAAGTGAGAAACCTGAGAATGTATGGGTTCCTTTACACATTTTTATAGCACTGTCTCCTCAGCGCCCCTCAATGAGCTTGACACTACACACACAGAAACCACAGAAATCACTCAGCCAGTTTCTGTCTGCGGTGGAGATAAGACACTCGGAGGACCTCAGGATGGGGGTACCTCCCTAACAACATCTGAGGATAAGACGCAACTGCTAGTAGCTATATTCTAGAACGGAATACTTTATAACTCCACTTAAGGGAGAAAGAGGGAGCAATTAGAGATAAAAACGTGTGAACTGCTGCTTGCAAGTTTACTGGGTGGAAACTGTTATACAAACATGGTTGCCTAAAAACCAATATCCTTGGCTTTTGTAGAGTAAATGGAACACAGAGGTTTTGACCAGGGCGTTCCTGTCTCTGGGGGAGAGGATTATTGAAAGCATACAAGACCTTAATTAAAGTGATGTTTTTAAAGGGCACAAAAATAAAGGGCCAGTAATAATGGAATCAGCCTTGTAAATCTTACACAAAAATATGAGTCTTTGATTCGTAATAAAGAAATGCCAACTTCTGACATCAAACGCCCTGATGGTAGGGCTTGTTTCTTAGACTTCTTGATATTGTCAGTTGAGTAGGCACAATGGAAACAGATGAATAATGAGGAAAATGATATAAGGAAGGTCTCGGTTTTGCTTTTTTTATTCCACAGCGTTATCTTGCCGATAGGAAGGAAAGCACAGATATTCCTGCTTGGAGGAGGGAGTTTTTCCATATTTTAAAAGACTATATAACTTGTAAAATGCTGCATTTAAAATACTGCATCCCCAAGTGCAGGCTGTCTCAAAGACTTGTAAAAAAATGAAGAATTAAGAAAAAATTACCCAGAGGGACCCACAAAAGAAAAAAAATTAAAAAAAAGAACTTAAGAGTTTATTTCATTGAGTGTGTGTAAAGCAGTAACAGCTAAGGGCTGGGAGGAGTGGAGAGAAGGGAAATGGACAGAAGGAGCTTCCAGCTTTTCCCTCTATTTTCTGAACTTCTAAGTGCAATGGGAGGGTTGACAGGAATCCAACCATTTTGCATAGTGATTCTGTAACCCCAACTGAGGGACAGAAATTAATCTTATTTACTATTAGGCAAATTTTATTGAGCGATTACTATATACCAGTGTTCTGAGCACTTTTCATGTACCATCTCATCTGATTTAATCCTCTTAATCCTATGATGAAGGTTCTATTTTACAGATGAGAAAGCTGAGCCACAAAAAGACTTAGTAATAGTCCCAAAACCATATAAATATGACATAGATTTGACCCTTCCTGTCTGATGCTGGAGAATATTTATCAACATATAACTTTACACACACACACGCACACACACACACACACACACACACACAACCAGGGAGGGATTGTGCTTGTGCTATGGTATTTTTGCTATGATGATTTGAGGATGTCTTAATTTCCTGGCATTAATGATACTATCACTTTCTACTGTTTTCAGGAGAGGTGAAATTCACACCAGAATTTATTATTTGCCTTGACATACTTTAAATATCCTTCAGGTAGAGGTAATGTCTTCATTATGTTTGGTGTGAAGCCAGCTCATGCCCCACCTCATAAATTCCCATAAATTAGCCCCAAAGAAAATAAAGCTAAATCACTGATATCTTTTCACAAAATGGAGTTTTATTGTGGTCGTACATGGTTTCTCAGTGCAACAGAGAATTGTTATATAGGGACAAACAATTTTTGGGTGCCTCTGTAAAGAAACATGGGAGGTTTTCAGAAATAAGTTGTGCAGGAATGTGGTTAATGAAAAGCAGAAAGGGTCAAGGGAAGAGAAAGGAAGTTGAGAAATGTGGTATGTACATCAAATGACTACTTTTTAAGCCCCTCTAGTCTCTGAAAACCCTTTTCCCAAGTCAGATCCCGACAAAATTCATCAGTAACTGAAGTGATTGTGCTAACAGATACACAAAGACTACAGGAGAAAAGAGGGTTGAGTTGGGCTCAGACTTATGTTGGCTCAACTCTGAGAGTCTTGGTGTCTGTACCAACCAGGAATCTGCGGGCTACCCAGAGGTGAGTTCTAACAACCAGCACAGGACCCAAAGTTGCTCTCCCACACCTCTAGTTAGTGGGGAGAGCCTGTAGTGGGGGCAAGAGTGGAAGCTGTGCCATTCCCCGCATCACCGTTTCATCTTCTGCTTGCTGACCTTGATGTGGCTTGAGAGCTCTCCTTGCTTCGGCTGTGCAGTCCAGAAGCCAGAACTTCCTCTAGGAAACTGATCAGTAGTTTGAAGTTAATTAAAGGGAAAAACAAAAGCATCTCCAAAAATAGAATGTCTTTCTCTGGACATCTACCAGATGAAAAGATATGATGAATGGCAGGCAAGAGGTACTGGTGTGATATTTGGGTATAGAATGGAAGCATCAGTTGAGCACTACAACATCCAGACTGCAAGGACAGTCCTTCTGTGCTCTGCCCCAGGGGCTTCATTTTGTTGTGTCTGTTTTTGTTTTGTTTTGAGATGGAGTTTCACTCTTGTTGCCCAGGCTGGAGTGCAATGGTGCACTCACAGCTCACTGCAACCTCCATCTCCCGGGTTCAAACGATTCTCCTGCCTCAGCCTCCCAAGTAGCTGGGATTATAGGCATCTGCCACCACGCTCAGCTAATTTTTATATTTTAGTAGAGATGGGGTTTCTCCATGTTAGCCAGGCTGGTCTCGAACTCCCGACCTCAGGTGATCTGCCCATCTCAGCCTCCCAAAGTGCTGGGATTATAGGTGTGAGCCACCATGCCTGGCCCATTTTTT